GTCTCCCTCAGGCTGGGACTCCCTGGGGACAGGGCTGTGTCTCCCTCAGACTGTGGCTCCCTGAGGATGGGGCTGCGTCTCCCTCAGACTGGGTCTCCCTGAGGACGGGGCGGCGTCTCCCTCAGGCTGGGACTCCCTGGGGACAGGGCTGTGTCTCCCTCAGACTGTGGCATGAGGATGTGGCTGCCTCTCCCTCAGACTGGGTCTTCTTGAGGACCGGGCTGTGTCTTTCCTCAGTCTGAGCCCTATCTAGGAGGAGCTTAGAGGAGGATGTGGCCTTGAATCTGCCTTCCTTTGCATCCACGCTGGCCTCCTGAAGTGTCTGGGAGCAGCTGCTGACCTGGCCACCCCTGCTCTTTCTCGCCCTGGCTGGGGCTGTACATACAGGAATGCTATCGTGTGAGGCCATGGTTCTGAGGGTCGAGAGGGGAGTCGGGGGGAGTATGGCTGCTGTGCTGAGGTCAGTGGGGTGTCCCCACAGCTTCCCTCCCTTCCTGAAGAGGCCCACTGGGGGTCGGGTCAGGACCACCCAGCTGAGCCACGCCAGAGCCACACTGAGTAGAGGTCTGGCTGGACCCTGCTTTTCCCAGTAGGATCAGCTGGGAGAGGGGCTCCATTTGAGGGTCTGTGGAGGGGGATAGTGCAGGGCGCCTCCTGTAATGTCTAGGAGTAGGTGCTCCTCACTCTGCCCAGGCCTCGCCAGCAAGAGCTGGTCATGTGATGGGGGCCAGGTGGCAGGTGTAATAGGAGACGGCATCCTGCTCGGCCTGCCCTGTGACTATATTAAGTTCTGTGCCCTGGCGTTCCCCTACCCCTGCCCTCAGGACTTTTCCTCCTCCCGCAAGGGATCCTACACTGCAGATAAAGAAGCCATCCCTCCTTCCCAGCCCCACGGTCAGAGGAAAGGGCCAGGGCCCTAATGAGGTCGGAGCCCATGAGTGAGGGAGCAAATGCAGTAAATTTAGGCTTTGGGTGCTAATGAGCTGCAGAGGGAAGTGCCTAGGACGGCCTTGGCAACCTTCAGGCTCAGTCCTCCCCCCACAGCCGCCCACACATCACCTAGGTGCTCTCAAGGGCATATGAAGAATATACTCACCAGCAGCTGACACACAGGTTTACACTCTTAATTTTTATTTTTTAGAGACAGAGTCTCACTCTGTCACCAGGCTGGAGTGCAGTGGCACAATCTTAGTTCACTGTGGGCTTGACCTTCTGGACTCAAGTGATCCTCTGGTCTCAGCCTCCTGAGCAGCTGAGAACACAGTCATGTGTCATCATGCCTGGCTAATTTAACAAATTCTTTTTTTGTAGAGAAGGGGGTCTTACTATGTTGCCCAGGCTAGTCTTGAACTTTTGAACTCAAGAGATCCTCCTGCCTTAGCTTCCCAAAGTGCTGGCATTACAGGTGTGAGCTACCACACCTGGCCTAGGTTTACATTCTTACAGGCCAATCCATATATACCCATACACCCAGAAGCCCGTAGGAGTCCATTATTACCCTGATAACCTTGTTCAGGAGCTCATGTGTACACACCTCACTACGCATGCAGACATTCCTGCATGCTTGCACACCCGTGTGCTCACAGGCATGCCACCCACTCCTGCTGGCATTCTCCTAAGCCCCCGAGTCTATGGCGGAAGCACGTAGTCTGGGAGCTGCAAGGCATTTGTACCCCATTATCTAAGGCCTCAATCCCTGTCTCCGTCAATGGAACTCACCACCTTGGGAGCCCCAGGAAGCCCTCCCTTTTCTCCATGGTGAGGGCAGGGGACAGAAGCAGGGTTTATTAATAAACTTGTTCCTGACTGCAAAGGCCTATGCAGAAGCCCCAGTCTCAAGCCAATCAGAGCAGAACTTTCCAGGAATGTTACCCAGAGCAAGTCTTCCTGTGACTCCAAGATTATTTCTCACCCCTGACTTCACCCTCTTGGTGTGTGTGGCTCCTGCCAGGCTCTACTGGCTCTGCCCGGCAGGCTTGCTGTCACCTGGCAGCTGACATCTACCTTGGCCACTGCCCAGAGAAGGTCACGGAGCACATGGGTGGTGGGGCCAGGATTAGAACTGCATTTGCTGTCACGCAGTCTTGCTCCACCCCACTCCTCCAAACCAAACCGAGCACAGCTGAGCCTGCTGTGTTGGGAGCGCAGAATGACCTCTGCCTTGATATCCACCCATGGCATCAGGACACTGCCCTCCTTCTGCGTGGGGAGGAAGCTGAGAGCCACTGGCCCTGAAGGTAGAGAGCCTTAGCCAATCAGGTTTCTGCTACTTGCTGGCCTTGTGACCTTGCACAAGTAGGATTTGACTTGCTTGTGGTTCAGTGTTATTGTCTGTAAAATGAGGATACTACCCGAAGGTAGCTGTGAGGATTAAGAACGTGTGAGGCTGGTGTTAACCGTAAAGGACTACACAGGATAGTAAAGTAAAAGGTGTCTATGTTCTTGCCTTTACTGCTAATTCCATTCCCATCTTCATCACCACCACCATCTAACACCTCCACCATCACGCCATCATCCCTACTGCCTCCAGCACTGACATAACTACCATTGCCGCCAGTACCATCATACTGCTC